ATAATGTTTTATTCGTGAAATTTTATATTTTTAGAACTTGTCAAATGGTGTAAAAATAAGGATATACTCAATTGGCGCTAAATGCAAAAAAAAGTCTTTAACTGAAGCTGGAAAAGAAAGAAAGAAAAGAATAGTAAGCAAACTTTTCTACAAGCGAAGAAAAACCGAGCTGCATGCTAACTTCTATATTGCAATCCTCCTGATTTTCAAGTCATTTATTTTAATATTTGAACAAAAAGAACCGAAGATTCACATTTTATACGATGAGCTAAAATTAGTGGTTAAATCTTTTTTAGGCTGCTTTATGAAGCTAGAACTAATTAAGGATGCATCGGGTATTAAACTAACAATGCTTGACGTAACAGACTTTAAATTTCACAAAATTCAAAAAGATTGGTACATTGGCAAAAACACAAACACAGCTCTTCTTAAATTTAGGTTAGTAAATTTGTATTAACTAAAGCAAAACAGTAATAATTTTATTAAATTCGATTTTTATATACGCGACTTTTGATATTAGCCTATTACGATATTAAAATATAATCAATAAACTTATGTTATTTTTGAAATATAATTTAACGAGAAAAGTAACGAAAATCTTTTAAATAATATAGACTTGATGATCCTATCCGAACAGAGTTTGAATCGCATGTTAAAAGAGCATTTCTCGATGGTGCAAAGTATATGCAAAAAAAGATTCCTTTATCGAACGAGTTATTAAAACTACTATCCTCTATTGATCCAACGTGTGTTGGAAGTACAGTTGCGTGTCGAATGACGCAGAAGCTGAAAGAATTTTTTCCTAACATTATAAAAATTGACGAAGCAGACTTATTTGACAGGGAAGTTGTTGCGTTTCATCTCGCTAAAGACTTACCAGCAGTAAAAGGAAAAAGACTTGATCAATGGTGGTCCGAGGTTTTTGTATTGAACCGATACAACTTACTTACCAAGGTTATTAAAGCTTGTTTGTCAATATTTACTGGACCTATGATAGAACAATCGTTCAGGTAACTTTTTTGAACTGAGAGCTTCAAGTTGTAATTTAAAAGTAACTATTAAACATTATTTATAATATTATTACTAATTTAATTAAATAATTATTATAACATAATTATATTATAGTAGTTCAGGTAAGTCAAAAACGAAGAAAAATTTCTTTAGACTATTTATTTCTTTTTCTTTACTAGTACCATGAATGATGTCATAAACAAGAAGACAACCCGTCTTAATGTAGAAACGTTTTCGGCAATTCAAACAGTTAAATTTGATTTGCGTTCAAAGAAAAGCAACTCTATAACTCAATACCATCGTCAAAACTTTTTAAAGTCGCCAATTAATAAGAAATTATGCGAAAAAATGATACTTTCGAAAAGTGTATACGAAAAGAGACTTGCAATGGTACGACTGGACAGAAAGCGAAATAATGATACAATAAATTTTGAACCACCGACAAACAAACTGAGAAAAGTTTCAGTCCATAAGCGAAGTGATTTACTTAAAAAAAAGTTTTAAAACAATAAAAAAAAAAAATCTCTTTGCTGATAGCTAAAAGAGCTATTTAAAAAATGTAAATTTACAATTTATTTAAAAAAGAGAAGAGTTTGACACGCATCGCTAATTGTATTTTATAAGTAGGAGATCATTCGCTCTTTTGCGCTGGAATTTTTATTAAACTTTAATGAAAATGCTTTTTAATTTTTTATTTACTCTGCGAGGGAAATCTTTTAATCTTTTTGGCTTTGTTTGTTAACTAAATAGAGCGTTCCGTAATTTGTGGACAACAAATTTACTGTTTATATATACTTGTTACTGTTTCATTTGATGACAGTAATAAACAGAAAAAAATTTATAAATTGTATTTTTGAAAACTATTTAATTATCCGGAAAATACAAAAAATTTAAAAAATATCCGGAATTCCGGAAATATCCGGAAAAAGATAATTCCTGGTTTCATACACTAAGTTCCAATCAACAGAATTTTTTAATAGATGGCGAAAATGTGCTAAGGTGTTTTCATTAATTTGACGTACCAATATTTTGATTTTATGGAATTGCTTTTTAATGTTATGTTTTTAGTGGTTAGAAAGATAGGAAAATGATCACTTATGTCGGTTTTAATTATGCCGGTTCTTATGCAGGATTTGTGAAAATTGTTTGTTATTAAGTTGTCGACTAATGTTGAAGATGTCTTTGTTATTCTTGTTGCCTTATTTATTGTTGGAATAAAATTATATTGCAAAATGGTGTCAATAAAGCATTTAGCATCATTTTTTGATGCATAATTTAAAATGTTTATGTTAAAATCTCCAACTAAGTATACATGTTTCCGATTTTTACTGGTTTGGGTTAGAAAATTTTTAATGTGAGCTTTAAAATTTTTTAAGTTTCCAGCTTGTTGTCTATAAATAGAGTTTACGAAAATGTTTTTAACATTTTTATTTATTATTTCAATGCATAACGACTCACAATCTGTAACATTCAATCAAAGATAGTGACGGTGAATAAAATTTAATGAGTTGTGAATAAAAATACTCACCCCACCACCAGCATGTTTATGACGCGATTGATGAACGGATGCTTAATTGGCTAATTCAAAACGTGCGTATTTTTCATTGTTTTTAAGCCACGTTTCCGTAAGGCAGATAATTTAAAAATCGTGTTTGAGGTTATGCAATAAAATTTTAAAGTTTTCAAAGTTTTTACTCATACTCCGAATGTTCAGAGTTAAAATTGAGAAAGCATTATTGTTCTGAGAAAGTAAATGAGTAGATTCAGAAATTGAAAAATACTCAGTTTCAAAGCTTTTTTCACAAAAAAAATTTTCATTATCATTATCACTAAGCTTTAGATCTTCGTAGTTAAATTTTGTAGAAAAGTTATCCTCCATTTTAAAAACTTAAAATTTTAAATAAAATAAAGAAAGAATAAGGTAATATATATACATGAATAAAAAAGAGTTAAAATATAACGAACCTAATTCTTTTTTCGATTGGATGCCCAATCACGTATGATCAACCTATCGTACGATATAAAAGCGTATTTCCCTGCTGCTCGTTCTACTTTCATCTTTTCTTTTAAAGCTCTTCTTATTTGTGTGGTCTCCGGACAAAAGTCTTCATTGATGAAAATATTTTTTCCTTTTAGATGAAAAGACTTTTTAAGAATTTCTGTTTCATCTTTGAAATTCAAGAGTTTTAGCACGATCGTTCTTGGGCTTTTTGCATTTTTCTTGTTTTTTTTTTTTTCTTTCTTTTTTTTGCCAGTTCTGTGAGCTCGTTCTATTTTAACATTTTTTACATCTAGATAATCTTCAAATAATTTTTTTACCTTTGATCCGGTCTCTTCCCAGCTTTCGTTTTCATTCTCTTTTACACCGTCTATTCTTAAGTTATTTCGCCTCGAACGATCTTCCATTTCCCTTAACTTGTTTTTTAAATTAAGGAATTCCGAGTTTACTTTAGTTATTTCACTACCAGATGGATTTATCTTTTCCTGATAACTAATTGCAGTTTTTATTTTATCATCAATAAGCTGTTCATGAAAATTTAAGCTTAATTTCATTTCTTCAACATCCTTTATTATTTACTTAACTCGTTCGGCATTGTCGTTTATATTTTTTTCAACTTTATCTAAGCGGTCTGTGATAGATTATTACCTCCGCCTGAATTATCACCTCCCCCTATTGAAAACTCAAAACGAGGTTGCGCTTTCTGGTTATAGCTGTTAGATGTGTTCCTAAAACGTCCGGATTACCTTACATAACATAACATAATTAACATAAACATAAACAACGAAAATGACGCTTCGAGGACAAGAATTCGAGAAATAAAGTTTACTTGGTCTTTTGTGATGTTCCAATTCCATTTTTTTGAAAGGTAATATAAGGAAGGTTATATAAAAAAGATTGATAGTAATAGATATTATACAAATGTAATACAACTAGTTTACTTATTATAATTATAATTATTACTTGCATAAAAATATTAAATTATTACCTCCCCCTTAGACTCAGGCTTGCTAAGACTTAGTAAATAACTTGATATGAGATGATACGATATTGGTATTGTTTGATAATGATAGAAATTGTGCATCTGTAAATTAATTAGTCACTTTTTTACTTGAAAATGCTTAAAACCTTTATATCTGTCTGAATTATCACCTCCCCCTTTGGAAATCACAAAACCTTCACCTGAATTATTGCCTCCCCTTGTAAATCAGTCAATATAAGACGGTGTGATTATGTTATTTAGTGAGAAAGATAGAAATTTTACAACGGTCAATAATTAGTCATATATTTACATGAAAATACTCTACAAATATTTTTATATCTGTCTGAATTATCACCTCCCCCCTTAGTCAATCACTCCATATGAGATAGTGCAATAATGGTATTGTTTTATAATGATAGAAATTGTTTATTTGTAAATTAATTAGTCACTTTTTTACTTAAAAATGCTCAAAAAATTTCTTTGTATTTGTCTGAATTATCACCTCCCCCTTAGAAAATCACTAAACCTGCGCCTGAATTATTAACTCCCCCATGTAAATCAGTCAGTATAAGATGGTGTGATTATGTTATTTAGTTAGGAAGATAGAAATTTTACATCTGTAAAGTAATTAGTTATTTATTTACTTAAAAATGCTGTAAAAGGTTTTTTATATCTGACTGAATTATCACCTCCCCCCTTAGTCAATCACTTTATATGAGATCGTGCAATAACAGTATTGTTTTATAATGATAGAAATTGTTTATTTGTAAATTAATTAGTCACTTTTTTACTTGAAAATGCTCAAAAAATTTCTTTGTATTTGTCTGAATTATCACCTCCCCCTTAGAAAAACACTAAACCTGCGCCTGAATTATTAACTCCCCCATGTAAATCAGTCAGTATAAGATGGTTTATTTTGTGACATTGTATTTAAAAATTTATTTTTTGTTCGTTTTTAGTCATCATGTTATAGTGTGGTATTTTCAGAATGACTTTATGTGATAGTGAGAACGTTTTCTGACTGGCAGAAGGTAAGTTTTTCAGTTAGCAATTTACACTTTAAGTTAAAGCTCAACTTTATCATATTGTTTATTCACTATTGGAAAACCACCTTTATAATCATTTGATGTTACGGAATACTTATATAAAGGTTTATTAGTTTTAAGTATTTTATTTATTATAAAGTTTATTAATTGTTTCAGGATATTCAGTTTTCTTTTTGCCCAACCTTGTCAGTCTGGTGCTAAAAAGGTAAGTTTAGTGTTATATCTTTAGAAGCTAATATTATTTCGGTCCTAATGGTATTGCACGCAAGTATGAATTAATTGTGTTAATAATTTTTTTTTTCTTTGTTTATTTTTTATTCAACTTTTTTGCATAGAAGGTTTTAATTTTAACTTTGATTTCATTTCTTTGTGAATTTGTTTTATAGAAGAGATAGAACCACATTTATGTGTAAACACTGACAGAGGAATAAAAGGACTAGTTTATTATGAATACACCACATTGGTATAAAGACTATAGTTTTTTTTATACACTCTTTATACAATAATTAACATTTATATTTATGTGCGTGTGTGTGTATGTGTTATATTTGTAAATATGCTGTATATATATATATATATATATATATATATATATATATCAAAATTCTTGATAGATAGAATCAAAATAAAGTTTGTATAAAAATATTAAAACAATATTGTAAATAATTTTATTAAAAATTACTTTAAAAAATTGTTATTTAATGTTTTAATTATGGATCTTTATTTTAACTGTTATTATTTAATTTAATTGATTGTTTTGAGAAAGGTTTGTGCAGGTAAACGATTTGCTGCTTTCTGTTACATTTGGAATGCAGTCCATGTGATACCATCGACTTGGTAAGCATTTATCACACTTAATCTATAAATAAATCATATATATAGTTTCATGATTATTATTTAAATTTAGAAATAAAATGAGATTTAAAGATAATACAAATCTTATACCCATTTATCTATTATATGCTTTTTATATTTTTTTGGTCCTTTTGCATTACCACATATGCGACACAAAACATCTTTCCAATTATGTTGACGTGAGTTTAAATTTTGTCAACTAAAATTTTTTAGTTTGCTGAAAACTTTATGAATGGAGAAGAGTTGGCAATGTCCTTCCCATTAGAAGAAGTAGTTCTATATCGAAACAAGGTGGTGCACTATCTTATAGATAGAGGAGGTTTGTTATTTATTAAATTGTTTAATAAAAATATAAATATACCTGTAAAAAAATATACAAAAAATATATTTTTTTACAGGTATATTTATATTTTTATTAAACAATTTAATAAATAACAAACCTCCTCTATCTATAAGATAGTGCACCACCTTGTTTCGATATAGAACTACTTCTTCTAATGGGAAGGACATTGCCAACTCTTCTCCATTCATAAAAATTTCAGCAAACTAAAAAATTTTAATTTAGAACTCTTAACTATAACAAATGTTTTATTAAACTCGGCTTAGGTTGAGCTACCTAAAAAATTTGTGATAATTTTTCAAAGTGGATGATAGGGAGGGGGAGGAGGAGGAGATAACAAGAGTCTGAAGTTGCCTCTAAACAATGAACACTCGAATTAAAAATTTGCTGGTAGGCATATATGGTAATAGAGCTGTATTTATTTAGTTACTGGATAGCTCAATTGGTATACCGTTAATGAGTACTGCTCATTGGCATCAATATTATTTGGGTTTAGTCTTATTATTGCATCACTATCCAGATTCATTATAAAAAATAACTGATGCAGCTTTTGATTAGACTTTGAAGATATTTGCTGCTATCTTTATGATGAATAAAAAATAATGGAACTATATATCTTTTATAAAAATTGTAAAAAAATAAAAAGTATTTCACATTACTTTAAGACAAAAGACTCCACACGATATGCTGTCTCTTTGCAGTGCATGTGGCAATGTCATTATTTTATATGTTTCTGAAATTCCATACCTTTGTTTCAAATAGTTACTGAAATTGAAAAAAGAAATAGTTTCTTTATCTAAATAACCATTATGTATTAAGGTTTTAGACTATTTTAGTCATGCATTGCTTATTGAATAATTTCATACTTCCATTTTATTTCTTCTTTTTTTATTGAAGATAAGATTTCGCCTAGAGGATTGATGTAATAAAAGCTCTTTTCCTTTGGTTTGATTATCTAGAAGAAATAACAATTTCAACATTTTAATCCTAGTTTCTTTCCAATTGAATAATTTTTTAAAAAAAGTTTGTATTATTTTTTTATTATGAAATATTTATATTTATAAATATTATTTATATTATTTTTATTCTTTGAAATACTTAGATATATATTGCTTATCTAACCTGTTTCATTCATTCATCCATTTTGATGAATAGATCATTAAATATTAAAGAGTTTACTCACTGTAAGCGTCCAATGATGTTTTGCAACAACACAGCATATAAGAATATCTAGTTTTAACAACTCATCCTGCATATAAATAAGATTTTTATTTTAATACCGCATGTGTTATGAATAAGTATTTAGTGGCATAACCAGGCGATTATGTGAAGGATCTTTTATCCTTAATATTTAATGTTTTTTTTATGCTTGCATCGACCTTACAACGGCCATATGCGCATGAATCTCTTCATGTGTAGGATTAAAGGAAAAAAGGCGACTCCCTAACCATTCGCCTTGTTACGCTTATCTATCTATGTTTACTTTTTAATTAATGCTTTAAATATTTTAATAACACTCAATTTTTTTTTTTCAGTGAAAATGTTTAATACCAAATTTTTCCTTCGAATCAAAGCTGTTTTATTTGGTAACACTTCTTGTGATAGTAATCCGGCTGGTGCTAGTACTTCAATTTTGTTCTTACATGAAAAAAAGAATTGTGAATTTTAGCATTGTAAATCATGTTATAATGTTTTATTTATAAAAATAGTTTTTAAATTTACATGTTTTATAAGAAATATTGTATTGTAAACTGGCTTAAAATTCAGAATTTTAGTTTTAAATAATGTATGTTACATTACATTAAAATATTTTCATAACATAATTGCGTAATTTTTCATAAATCTTACCTTATCTTGATTACTAGCAAGTAAACTCAGATAAACGTAAACTGTTTCATCACTCAAACAATCAACTAGAGTTTCTTGTAATGAGTAGTCGTATATTTTGCTGTCTCCCAATTCTTTAAATATACCCATTATTGCTTTTATCGGTTTAAGATTTTTTAGGCATTCGATTGTTTCGAATCCTGCATAAAATATGAATTTTTTTTCTACTTTTACTAATATTGTATTTAATAAACAATTTTGATTTGAAAAACACCTAAAAATTCAAAATTTTGCTCACTTCAGTTGCACGTCATATAAAATATACCTTCACTGTTTTCAATAATACAGCTTTTACTGCTGTCGCTTACTTCTGAATCGTCAAACTCTATAAAATAAAATAATCGATTAAATTTTAAAATTAATATAACTTGCCTTGTTTTTTAAGTATGAAACGAAAAGAATTTAAAAAATTGCATGTTATTCGGCGTAAAGTGTTAACTACTTTGTGTTCTTTTTACTGAAGTATCATTATTGCTCAAATCTGTAACGTTGACATCATCTACAAAAAAAAAAAAAACTTAGAAAAGCAGATTTTTTTTCATCATTGTTTCTAGCTAACAAACAGATAAACGAAGAACTTCAATATATACATACATACATTACATACATACATACATACATACATACATACATTACATACATACATACATACATATATATATATATATATATATATATATATATATATATATATATATATATATATATATATATATATATATATATATATATATATATATATATATATATATATATATATATATATATATATATATATATATATATATATATATATATATATATATATATATATATATATATATATATATATATATATATATATATATATATATATAGTGAAAACATCTATACCTTTTACATCAGTACTTTCAATGAATTTTTTTATATGTATTTTTTTGTGCGTTCCTTATATTTGCATACCTTTATCATCTTTTAATCTAAAGTTCCCACATTGTGTTACATGAGAAACAATAAACGGACCTTTAAAACGTGGTTTTAATGCTGCACCTTTTGATCTGCGACCCCTTGTCAAGTAACAATACTTTATCTTCAACGTCAATGGATTCCTTTTCAATTTTTTTACACTTCAATACTTTTTTATCGTAATGTATCTTTTGCTTGTTTTGAGCATCTTTGATGTTCTAAAATTAAATTTTGCTAAATTGCTAACAAACGCAATTGGTACGTACCTGGCTTTCATATTATTTAATGTTATTATTGCTATTTAATAATGCTATAACATCGAACCTTACAAACCAAATTTGTGAGATTTTCAATGCGAAGTTTGCTTTTTTCCATTTCACTCGTTATATTATCATCTGTTGCATTCACAAATATTTTGTTCTTTAAATAAATTATAAAACTTCCCAGTGGGCACCCGACGTCAATCCGACGTCGGATTTACGTTTGATTTTCATCAGCGATGTCAAAAGACCTATTCCGACGTTGTTCCGATGTCAGTAAAATGACGTCGGGCGATGTCTTTATCTCAACATCCCCTGACGTCGTTTCGATGTATTTTGACGTTTTTCCGACATCTTATAAAAGACGTCCAAAAAACGTCGCAGTACTGACATCGATCCAACGTCGATAAAAAGACGTCGGGCAACGTCATAATATTAACGTACTCCGATGTCTTTTGACGTCTTCCGACGTCAATCCAACGTCCTTAAAACGACGTCGGAACAACGTCGTAAGACATCGCTGATGAAAATTTAATCCAAACCCAACAATATGTGTGCAATTGCGCTCTTCAATAATTATGTGAACTAAGCGTGTTTTTTTATTAATGGAAAAAAGTTTGAATAAAGGTTGATAAAACATCATGAGGTTTTGTATGATGCACTAGCATAGTTTTTTAACTATTAACATTTTCAAGTATACATTTTTTATAATATATAACTATTCGTTTTAATATTTATATAATATTTAAACAAAATTATTTCTTATCAAAGTAATAATTCCCAAATAGCTACAAGTATAAATTACTAAATAAACTCATCTATTATTATCTCCTTGTGGTGTAGTGGTAAGCGCATAGAATTTAGAAACTACTAGACCGAGGTTCGATTCCTGCCACAGGCAGCGTTTTTTAGTTTTCAAAAAACACGTTGGATTTACATCGGAATGCCGACGTCGCGCGATGTCAGTTTATCCGACGTCAAATAACATTTCCATTTCCAACGTAAACCCAACGTCGATCCGACGTCGAGATCCGACGTCGCTTGACGTTCGTTCGACGTCGAAAAGCCCACTGGGTTACGATATATTTTTTTATACATTGATTTTATAAATTAACTGACAACAATTCAAATAAATTTTATACTTTTAACACAATTTGGTGACATGAGTACGTGTGTGATATAAATTGTTTGAATAAATAATAAAAAAAATTTTACTTCCTCAAATTCACTAGTACAAACAGGTGACCGACCACCAAACATTATTTCAAAAGGGGATACTTTTGTAGATTGTTGCCTCTCCACTCGTAGTGGGTACAAAACAATATCAACATATTCGTCCCAATTAGTTTGATTTTCATTAACCAGTTTTCTTAACTTTCTAAAAGTACAAAAAGCGTTAATATTTAATAACTGACATGAAAATCTAAATAATTTTGTAATATACATATAAACATAATATGCAATAAAATAAATTTGATAAATTCTAACTATTCAGTAAAAATGGAAGTATTATAAATAAAGAACACGTTTGACAAAACAAGAATGGTTACATTTTAAGATGCGCCTAATAGAAATTATTAATCACTTAAGCAGTCCTCACCCAAAACAAAAAACATTATAACCTTTTTAGATTTTTATTGGTGTTTTCGTCTTGTCCGTTGCACTGTGGGTGATAAACGGCTGTCTTTCTTCGTTCAATACCCAGCATTTTGTACATTTCGTGGTTTAACTAAAAAATTAGGATTAGTAACAAAAATTAACAAACCCTTAGGGTTTCATTATCATTATTTTAATTTATTTTTACCTGATTACAAAACTCAGTTCCATTATCTGAAAGTATTACCGAAGGAAATCCAAAAGTTGTAACTAATTTAATAATAGCCTTTGCAACAGTGGTAGCTTCTTTATTTGATAAAGCATATGCAACCGGCCACTTGGAAAACAAATCTGTGCAACTTAAAAAATATTTGTTGCCCATTGCTGTTTCTGTAAAGGGTCCAGCAAAATCAATACCCACAATTTCCCATACTCGAGTTGTCTAAAGTTATTAAATATAAACAGTATAGCAAGACCTTATTATGCTGCTTAAAATTGAATCTAAATTATTCTATATTAGGTAAGGAGTTAAACTGCTCGCTTCATGATTAAGGTTTTTTATGGTCGAATGGCATTCTTGGATCGTAAGGCACTCAATTTAATTTATTATGCAGAAGCTTTGTCTAACAAAATTTATGTTTCAGTGAGATGGATTTCAGAGAGAGTTGCAATTAGTTAAGATGAAAAAAACAAATTATTATAATATAGAAGAATATCATTTAAAAAATGTATTCTTCTTTTCTGTAGAATCATTGGACAAAGTATTGGTTTTATAAATAAAGTTTTTTACTGTAATAAAAATCATTCTAACCTTTATTGAAGTGCACCTGCTGTTTGGCATTGCTTGCATTGTTTTACCTGTTACAATAAAAGTTGCAATTTTAATTCAGTTTTAACTGATTAATTTTTTTTAATTGATTATTACCAACCCATTTTATAATATCCGTAGTCATATTTGGCCAGTAGTATTTTTCCATAATTTTTGACTTCGTCTTTGTTTCACCGCTATGCCCTCCCAAAGGGTTACCGTGTTCCTCAGTAAAAATCTTAATTCTTTCTTCTTCACAAAGTATAATATCCGCGACATAAGAATTTCCGTATATTGTGACTTTCCGTTTCAGCTTACCTTCTTGAATAAAGTTTGTTATACATTTTTTTGGTAGCATGGAACAATATTTTTACTAAACTAAATGTTGCAAAAAAATTAAATTACCTTGCACAACGTAACTTCGAGATACATCTCTTAGACATCGTTTTTCATTTTTTTTTAAACCAGCCGGATAAGTCTTCTCTGTTAAGTATTTAAAGATGTTATTGAAATAAATTTCTTTTTTTTCACCGTTTGACATCGTTGACAGAACCAACCGACTTAACACCACTGAATTACTGATTTGTTTGAAACATAAGAAGGTATTTATGCAACAAATTTGTAATTTTGCGTGGGTTAAAACTGCCACAATTGCTTCCTAAAAACTTAATTACTGGTTTGTGGACAATGCCAGAGCATTTAAGACGGTTGTTTTTTATAGTAACGTTGAAAATGGTTTACTTAAAAATATGTTAAAACCACAAGACTTTGATTTTAACAAATATTTTAGGCTTATTGTAACAATGATCCACGTTGGAATTATTTACGATTCAATTTTTTTCCTTGTGCAAAAGGTTGTGGATTTTAGCATTACAAAGATTTTGAAATAGGTGTCAAAAAAGTAAATTTAAAAAACATTTTAACTAATCCTAGTAATATTTTTTTGAGGAATAACTTTTGCTAATTATTTTGTCGGCATTTTCTTATTGCCTAATTAGGGAATAAATAAGTATTATTACAAAACCGAATAGCTACTTATAACTGAAGGTCTTTTCAATTCATTTTCAAAAGCCATTGCAATGCTCAACCTCAACAAAAATGAGATTATATTTATATTCTTCTATATAATAAAACAGGTACGATCCCATTTTTTTTAAGATTAAGGTTTGTACAGCAATATTTCTCAAGTAAACTTATACATTGTATAATTGTTCTTTTACTGTTACTTGCGTAACCATTCTTAACAGATGGTTACGCAAGTAACAGTACAGTACGCAATTGATTCAAGTGTTTGATCTTCTTTATGGATGCATTTTTTCTGTACTGCTTATATAATGTTTATATTTCAAAATTTTTGATCCTTTTGAACTTTGGAAAATTTTTTGTGTGGTTCAAATAATTACATTTTCTTTCTATATAACAGCATTAATCTTTTATCTTGGCATTTTGATTATCTTATTCTCCATTTGATTCTGTTTAATGAAAAAAACAAAAATATCAACACATGAAAGTATAAAAAAAGAACATTTTACATAAACAATTATACAAACTTACATGAGATTGACTTTGAATGAAAATCAAATTTATTAAAACACTTGAGATTCTTCTTTCTAAATCGTCTGCTCGTATTTGAGAAACCAATTTGAAATCAATCTGTAAATAAAAAGAAAAACAATTTAAAAAAACTTAGAACTTCGTATTATTGGAAAAAACAGAAACAACAACAATTATTCAAAGTTTAAAATGAAAACATGGAACAATAATTAAAAAACTCAATACAAACACAATTTTTTGAATTCATTTATGAGAAAATAAAACAAAAAGATCACTTCTACTCAATAGCATCTTATGTTGATTAATTTACTAGGAGATAAAAAATCAGACACTTTACAAGGGGTAGGTGATAATTCAGACAGATGTAAAGAGCTTATTAGAGTATTTTTAAGTAAATAAATCACTAATTAATTTACAGTTGTATAATATCAATCATTATCACAAAACACCATGATCACATCATCTCATATTATACTGATGTATTAGGGGTAGGTAAAAATTCAGACGCTAGTTTTAGTGATTTACAAAGAGAAGGTGATAATTCCGACATATAAAAACTTTCAACACAAACATTCATTAACACAATTAATTCATACTTGCGTGCATTACCATTAGGACCGAAATAATATAAGCTTCTAAAGATATAACACTAAACTTACCTTTTAGACTGACAAGGTTGGGCAAAAAGAAAACTGAATATCCTGAAACAATTAATAAACTTTATAATAAATAAAATACTTAAAACTAATAAACCTTTATATAAGTATTCCGTAACATCAAATGATTATAAAGGTGGTTTTCCAATAGTGAATAAACAATATGATAAAGTTGAGCTTTAACTTAAAGTGTAAATTGCTAACTGAAAAACTTACCTTCTGCCAGTCAGAAAACGTTCACACTATCACATAAAGTCATTCTGAAAATACCACACTATAACATGATGACTAAAAACGAACAAAAAATAAATTTTTAAATACAATGTCACAAAATAAACCATCTTATACTGACTGATTTACATGGGGGAGTTAATAATTCAGGCGCAGGTTTAGTGTTTTTCTAAGGGGGAGGTGATAATTCAGACAAATACAAAGAAATTTTTTGAGCATTTTCAAGTAAAAAAGTGACTAATTAATTTACAAATAAACAATTTCTATCATTATAAAACAATACTGTTATTGCACGATCTCATATAAAGTGATTGACTAAGGGGGGAGGTGATAATTCAGTCAGATATAAAAAACCATTTACAGCATTTTTAAGTAAATAAATAACTAATTACTTTACAGATGTAAAATTTCTATCTTCCTAACTAAATAACATAATCACACCATCTTATACTGACTGATTTACATGGGGGAGTTAATAATTCAGGCGCAGGTTTAGTGATTTTCTAAGGGGGAGGTGATAATTCAGACAAATACAAAGAAATTTTTTGAGCATTTTCAAGTAAAAAAGTGACTAATTAATTTACAAATAAACAATTTCTATCATTATAAAACAATACCATTATTGCACTATCTCATATGGAGTGATTGACTAAGGGGGGAGGTGATAATTCAGACAGATATAAAAATATTTGTAGAGTATTTTCATGTAAATATATGACTAATTATTGACCGTTGTAAAATTTCTATCTTTCTCACTAAATAACATAATCACACCGTCTTATATTGACTGATTTACAAGGGGAGGCAATAATTCAGGTGAAGGTTTTGTGATTTCCAAAGGGGGAGGTGATAATTCAGACAGATATAAAGGTTTTAAGCATTTTCAAGTAAAAAAGTGACTAATTAATTTACAGATGCACAATTTCTATCATTATCAAACAATACCAATATCGTATCATCTCATATCAAGTTATTTACTAAGTCTTAGCAAGCCTGAGTCTAAGGGGGAGGTAATAATTTAATATTTTTATGCAAGTAATAATTATAATTATAATAAGTAAACTAGTTGTATTACATTTGTATAATATCTATTACTATCAATCTTTTTTATATAACCTTCCTTATATTACCTTTCAAAAAAATGGAATTGGAACATCACAAAAGACCAAGTAAACTTTATTTCTCGAATTCTTGTCCTCGAAGCGTCATTTTCGTTGTTTATGTTTATGTTAATTATGTTATGTTATGTAAGGTAATCCGGACGTTTTAGGAACACATCTAACAGCTATAACCAGAAAGCGCAACCTCGTTTTGAGTTTTCAATAGCGGGAGGTGATAATTCAGGCGGAGGTAATAATCTATCACAGGTCACGAACTATTTTTGCGCTTGAACTTACAATGGCTATAATGTTTTTTTCTTGTTGTTTTAAGGTTTCTTCAAATTGTTTTTTGTAATCATGTAACATCTCCTTCAATATACTAGGTTGGTTGAAAAGTTCGCGGAGCGGAAATGAAAAAACAATTTTATGATTCAAAAAATGACTTTATTCTTCAGTATATTCTCCCTTAAGAGCAATACACTTTTTCCAACGATTCTCCAATTCATGTATCCCATCTCTGAAGTGCGATTCCGGAAGGCCTTCAAAATACCCATTTACGGCTGCAATGACTTCTTCATGTGAGGAGAAACGCTTTCCACGTAGAAATTTTTTGAGATGTGGAAAGAGGTGGAAGTCAGACAGAGCCAGATCTGGTGAATAGGGTGGATGTTCCAAGCGTTCGTACTTTAATTCGACCAATTTCGCCTTTGCAACATCGCTGATATGAGCAGGTGCGTTGTCCTGGTGATAAATGACTTTTTTATGCAGCAAACCAGGTCTTTTCTCACGAATTTTTTTATCCAACTGGTCCAAAAGATTTTTATAATATTCACCTGTTATCGTTTTACCGGTTTGAAGGTAATCTATTAATAAAATTCCTTTCGCATCCCAAAAAACTGATGCCATAACCTTCTTTGACGATTTTGACGCCTTCACTTGCTTCGGAGCTGAACAACCGGGTTCTGTCCACTCTGCAGTTTGTTGTCGCAGCTTCGGATCATAGTGGTAAACCCAAGTCTCATCCATGGTTACGAATCGACGCACAAAATCTGTTTTATTCTTTTGAAAACGGGCCAAATGTTCTTGAGAAAGTTTTACTCGAGTGCGTTTCTGATCCAGAGTTAGCGAATGCGGCACCCATCTTGCCAACAGCTTTCTCAGACGTAATTCATCGTGCAAGATGTGTAATACCCGTTCATCTGAGATGCCCACAGCCTCAGCAATTTCACGTTTGGTCAATCGTCTATCATCCATAACCATGTCATGCACAGCATTAATCGTTTCTTCAGTAGTAGCACTTTTTGGACGTCCAGAGCGAGGGTCATCTTCAAGGCTTGAACGCCCACGTTGAAACTCCGCAGCCCATTTGCATACTGTTGTTTTTGAAGGAGCATCATCACCCAACACATTTACCATTTCATTATGAATTTCCATGGGATTTAAACCTTTTTTCACAAAGAATTTTATTACAGCACGATGTTCAATATTTTCCATTTTAAAAAATACTATGACACGTCTAATTTCAATAGCTTGTAAACAAAGACTGAAATGACATATCGACTTGAAATTTTTTATGCGTTCATACGAAGAATGAATACGTTTAATACAGTTATAAATTTGTTTCTACTACTGCAACATAGGTGCCGCTCCGCGAACTTTTCAACCAACCTAGTATTTTTAATGTCATCTCGAGTAACTGCCATAATTAAATTTATATGATTGATAAAGTCTTGATTTAATTATTTCGGTAGATAGAATCTTAATACACAGTTACTAAAATGTATCAGTTTGTATTTTTTCTGTAGTTTTATTATTAAACTATTATTTAAAGATATTTTTTTAATAACAACTTTTTAGATTAAAACAAATTCTACGCCATAAAAAAAAACACGTGCGTTACGACCACTTTATCACATTCAGAAACATGAAATGCGCGTATAGTAATTCGCGCATTGCAGATGTTCTTGCGAATATTTTCATAAAAGAATTCTTGAGAACTTCCACAATGCATTGCATTAATATATACGCAATATATTGAAGATAATATGTCGGAGATGTTTTTGTCGTTTAGCTCGATCAAGCTAAAAGTCAAAAACATCTCCGACATAGCATCCCAATATATCCAAAGACTACTATAAACAGACTTAATGCAAAAGGAACCACGGAAACAGACTTAATACAAATGGAACCACTTGACAGAATGAAAGCTGAACGATAGGCTGGAAAATACGCTTATATTTTGTGTGATAAACTACGTTTTGCTACCTCAAACTCGCATCCAATATGTTCATATAATTTTAAAGTTGAATATATAAACCGTGTAAGCAAAACTTTGCAATAAAGGTATGTATGTCATTTTTAATTATAAGGTGATTTTTTGCAGAGATCTCAACACTCAAAAATTGTAAACAAAGTTTTTTTTTTTTTTGCCGTACATATAGCATTTACAAGTTTTCATAAGATAAAGGTGTAATATTTGCAAGTTTTGTGATAAATAGTACGGGCCGGACTTCAAGAAGATCGTAATGATCTAATCACGAAGCCCTTACAATGTGGTAGGTATATATTATGACTATATTAAATATTATTAATTATTATGTACAACTCTTTTTTTATAGTCCTTAAATTAAAATAAACTCATAATATAAAAAAAACTCAAAATAAGCAAGATAAAAAAATTAAACATAACAAGTAGCATAATAACTAAAATTGATAAGAAAAAAATAAAGCGTTTTTTTTTGTGTGTAATAAAATTATTTGATAAATTGTTTGAGAAAGGTAAGAGTTATTTAGATAATACACATAAACGAGTCAGTTCACTTTGTGGTTGATATATATGTAATTTAAATTATAGTTTTAGAAGAGTTCAGAGAGTCTGTTTAGATTTAGTATCAGATTTTTTAACTTTGTTTTTGACCCCGGTATGAAATTGAGAACTGGTAAAGTTTTGTTTTTTTGAAAGGTTTAGTAAAGTTTCCTGTTTCTCTTGTGTTATATTTATTATCGTTATTTATAAAAAAGTTATTTAAAAAATGGTTCGGTACTTGACCTAATTTAAACTTTAGCATAAACAAGAAATTTTGGTAAATGTTAATTTGATAAATGTTAAGCACA